CGGACGCTTAACCGACTGCGCCACCCAGGCGCCCCTATTTAAAGAACTTTTAGTTTCTTCTCTTTCCTGAGAACAAATTCAACACGCTAAAGAGCAAAACTTGAGATTATCTTTCTGAAAGCTGCTAAAGATATATTACTAATTTTGAATAACATATTTTCTAAACATCAGTAGAGCAGTACTCAGTAGAACCCTTCAAAACTCGTTTTTACAAATGTCAGCCAGGAATTAGAGGAGACCTGGGTTCTAGTCTAGCTTTCTCATAGACTAGCTGTATGAGGCTGACAATTCAAGAAACCTCTCTGCGCTCACGTTCTACACCTGTAAAATGGGAACAGTGGATTAGATTATCTCTGCCTCATTCAGATCTAAAACCTCCAAATCATATAACCATTTTCTCCATTTTCTTCTATTCAACCTAATTACATCTACCCTTCCCCTTAGGACTGTCGTGGTGATAAAATGAGACAAAAGACAATGTTCTTTAAATTATGCAAGTTCAAGAAACTATATGCCATGGGGGCGCCTGGGTGGCTCAGTCGGTCAAGCATCCGACTTCGGCTCAGGTCATGATCTCACGGTTTGTGAGTTCGAGCCCCGTGTCAGGCTCCGTGCTGACAGCTCAGAGCCTGGCGCCTGCTTTGGATTCTGTGTCTCCCTCTCTCTCTGCCCCTCCCCTGCTCACACTGTCTCTCAATAATAAACAAATGTTAAAAAAAAAAACTGCTAAAAAATTTTTTTAAAAAAGAAACTATAAGCCAGATCAGACAACAAAGCCAAAAATTTCATCTCAGATATTTCTTAAAAAATAATTATATCAGCACTCATTTAATATTCTTATATGTTTGGTCTTTGAGTTCTATTAAGTTACTAAGTCTGAAATCCTTAGCTGCAGCAACCTCATCAACATATCTAGAAACTACCTACCCGTAATTATTTCTAGATATAGCTGAGATTCAATGTTTGATGGAGAATTACTGAAGCAAATCAAAATGAAGAGTAAGCAACAGGCTCATCTGTCCAAAGTATATATAATCTTAGAAACGGAACATTTTTCAGCGTATCATGAGTTTTCCAAAAAGGAAGGACTTAGACGTTTAATGAGATTTTTTTACATTAGAAACTCATGTATTATTGAAGGTCTTGAAATTAGTAGATTCTTATTTTGTAAACTTTTAAGCTATTACAATTTTAATTTGGCAAGGAACAGCCAAAGCTTGGCTCCCAATTATTCACCACAGAGTCTAAAAAATCATGATCTGCCGTTTTTTTTTTAATTCCAAGCAACAACAGGCATTTAAAAAAAAAAGCACTATTTGACCATGAGGAAAAGGAAATGAAATGAAAGGTGTGACTGAAATAGAAACAGTCAATAAAGGGGCGCCTGGGTGGTTCAGTCGGTTGAGCGTCCGACTTTGGCTCAGGTCATGATCTCGTGGTTTGTGAGTTTGAGCCCCACGTCGGGCTCTGTGCTGACAGCTTGGGGCCTGGAACTTCCTTCGGATTCTGTGTCTCCCTCTCTGTCTCTGCTCCTCCCCTGCTCACACTCTGTCTCTCTCTCAAAAATAAATAAAGGAAAAAAAAAAAGAAACAGTCAATAAAATCTTGTACCTTGGTCCCGTTGAATATCTCGTTGACAATAAGGTGACACCCTTCTACAGCACCATCTCCACTGAACTCCAAGGCAATAACAGGACCTAGAAGAAAACCCAAGACGTGTTGTCTGAACAGGAATACAAATCTATTTATTTTTTTAAGTTTATTTATTTGAGGGAGAGAGAAC